GAGAAATGTAAAGTATTGCACTTGGGCAAAAAAAATGAGAGGCACAAATACAAGATGGGTGACACCTGGCTTGAGAGCAGTACATGTGAAAAGGATCTAGGAGTCTTGGTTGACCACAAACTTGACATGAGCCAACAGTGTGACGCGGCAGCTAAAAAAGCCAATGCAATTCTGGGCCTCATCAATAGGAGTATAGCATCTAGATCAAGGGAAGTAATAGTGCCACTGTATTCTGCTCTGGTCAGACCTCACCTGGAGTACTGTGTCCAGTTCTGGGCACCACAGTTCAAGAAGGACACTGACAAACTGGAACGTGTCCAGAGGAGGGCAACCAAAATGGTCAAAGGCCTGGAAATGATGCCTTATGAGGAACGGCTAAGGGAGCTGGGCATGTTTAGCCTGGAGAAGAGGAGGTTAAGGGGTGATATGATAGCCATGTTCAAATATATAAAAGGATGTCACATAGAGGAGGGAGAAAGGCTGTTTTCTGCTGCTCCAGAGAAGCGGACACGGAGCAATGGATCCAAACTACAAGAAAGAAGATTCCACCTAAACATTAGGAAGAACTTCCTGACAGTAAGAGCTGTTCGACAGTGGAATTTGCTGCCAAGGAGTGTGGTGGAGTCTCCTTCTTTGGAGGTCTTTAAGCAGAGGCTTGACAACCATATGTCAGGAGTGCTCTGGTGGTGTTTCCTGCTTGGCAGGGGGTTGGACTCGATGGCCCTTGTGGTCTCTTCCAACTCTATGATTCTATGATTCTATGATTCTAAAGAGCCTTTGTGGCTGCAATATAGAAAACCAAAACAGGGGAAGGCAAATTTAAGGAGGCATCCGCTTATACATATATTTTCAGAAAGGCAAAAACATTTATCAATGTTATGGTGCATTACAACTTTTCAGTTTATCAAGCTGTCACAGAAAGATCTTGGGCCATGTCTGCATGCTTCATGGGTACAATACAGGGCCATTTTTGTGTGTATTCATGGCTGTTCTTCATACGAAGGCAGGTGGTGCTGAGCCACACTCTAACTGGAAGTTGTAGCAAGGCTGCTGAAACAGACAAATTTGGTATAAGTTGTCATACCACATTTGAAATTCATTTATTTTCATTTATTTATTTTTGACATTTATATATCCAGCAAGGTCCTCTGGGAGGTTCCCAACACAAACCATGTGTCAGAGCTGCCTCAGGTCCCAGCTCACAAAGGACCAACGCCAGTATCTCTTTATATACAAAAGTCTTTATTGAAGTTCATTGTTGGTTTTACAGCGGTGGCGCGCATCCCTACGTCTGTAACTCTAGACCGTCGTAGCTCCGTCTGAGTCTCCTCCCCCCAGACACCAGTTTAAGACCCTAGCCTTGCTCCACCTCTTCCTCTGCTCCCTTTTCCTCTGGGTCCGCTTGTCCGCCGAAGTCTTGCCCTTCCTAGACTCTTCTGAGGCTGACTCCCCTGAGTCTTCCCCCTCCCTCCGGCGAGCTTTAGGACCTGGTTCCCAATCCGTGCTTTCTCCTGTCCCGCGCGCCTGTACATTTGAACTTGGTGCGCGCGCCCAGCCTGCCACTTTCCTCCTGACCGTTATACTGCTCCTGTCGCTGCTTCCCTTTTCGGGGATGCCAGCTGGGCTAGACTCCGCCTCTCTGCTTGCCGGAGGAGACGCTGACTCTGACCTATGAGACTCTTCCCCCCACTACGCTCCGGTGGGGAAGCTGGCCCTGATTTCCAGCTACTGCTCTGGGAGTCCCCGCTGGCCCCCTGCTTCTGGTGTGTCCCCCCTGGGACCCCCCTTGCCCTGGCCACCGGCGCTCCCTTCTGGGAATCTTCTGATTCACTGGAGAGGCTCATGGAATCTCTCGGGTCACTGTCATTCTGCCCTCCGCTGCCCTCAGATTCTTCCCCTTCGCTCTCCATTTCCTCTCTCCTCTGCGCCTCTGCTCCTGAGCCCCTGACACCATGTATTAAAACTATAGTAATACAACCAAGTAGATACGGGTGCTAGTAGATAAATAGGGACCGCTTACTAGCGGGAAGGTAAACGGCGTTTCCGTGTGCTGCGCTGGCTCGCCAGAGCAGCGATGTCACGCTGGCCACGTGACCCGGAAGTGTCTCCGGACAGTGCTGGCCCCCGGCCTCTTGAGTGAGATGGGCGCACAACCCTAGAGTCTGTCAAGACTGGCCCGTACGGGCAGGGGTACCTTTACCTTTAATACAACCAAGGTTTAAACATCAACAACAATCTGCATAAAAATCAGCACAAAGAAAGCATAAAGCAATGTAAGACTGCCTTGAAGCCGCCACAGGGAAGCATGTCATGTTCCACCTCCACTGTCAGAGGCAGCAGAGCTTCTGAATGCCAGTTGCTGGGAGCCACGGGGGGGGGGGGGAGAGGGCTGCTCTTGAGCTCATGTCCTGCTTGCTGGTTTCCCACAGCCATCTGGTTGGCCACTGTGAGGACAGGATGCTGGACTAGACCTCTGACCTGATCCAGCAAACGCATCATATGTTCTGATGTATTTAAAACAGCTGAGAAAATAAAAAGGCCACACAGACCACAATGTAGGCACGCAGCAAGCCACTCTAGGGAGTCCTTTCCATAACTGGTTGCTACCACTGAAAGAACCCACTCAGTGATCATCCACCCTCACTGGAACTCACCACTAACTTCTCCCTTGTTTTCTTAGAACGCCAATATCGCTTCTTGGCCCTTTTAGCTATGATCTGGTATAGAATGGCAATGGTGCCCACCTGAGAGGAGCCAGAGCTGAGCTCCGGTGAGCTCCAGCTGAAAAAAAGCCCTGCCTTAAACTATTGCTTCATCCATCCCTGTGTTGACTTGAAGCCCACGGGCCTAGATTCATGACTAAAGTGGCTCCTAGCTCAGAACCACGAGCAAAAAAAAAGAGGCATCTCTTTTGAGAGATCACCATGCCAGTGTTTTGAAGTGTGTCTGTGTATGTTGCATGTAGTTTCCTGGATACCTAACATGTGTGCCTTGGAAGGCCGCAGGTCTTGACTGCAAGTTCAGGAGGTGGGGATGGGTCACAGAGGGAGGAGACCTGCTTGGGCCCAATAACACTATGTCATTGGGAGGACAACAGCATTTCCATATTTAAGAATTGGGCATGAAAGAATGCTAATGTTACTAAGTAGGTCATGTTAGTTCCAGATTGAACCCAGAACTTTGCCTATCACTAGTCCAATTACAGTGGGCAGATAGAAACTTTATTTGCATTAGCCACTAGCCTTAGCAATAAGGTGAAATATACTGGGGATAGAGCTAAATAGTTACGTAGCTATACAAAATATGTTCTGGAGGTTTACATCAAACAAATGACAGAATTTACAACAAAACAAATGACAGAATGGATTCATGATCCTTTAGACCAATCATGATCCTTTAGACCAATTACAGTATAGTACAGGGGTAGACAACATGGTGCCCTTCACATACTGTAGAACTACAACTCCCATCAACCCTGAACATTGGTCATGCTGACTGAGGCATGAAAGTCCTCGTGTTTATGATACTGATATAGTATAGTCTCTACGTGTTTTATACCCTCCTTTTTTCATTTCTTGGGGCATGCAATATGGACATTTCCAGGATAAATACATTCTAACACATCTCAGTTTGGTTATTCATTATAAATGGCTTTTTCCATATCTCAAATAGAGCATTAAATAGCAGATGAGCAGGAGATCATGCACTGAAGTTAATATGTCTATCAACATATTTTTGTATCTCCCATTTCCCCACACCTGCCACTGATTTTTGGTGTGCAAAAACAATGAATCCATATCCCAATCAGGCAACATGAAGAAAAATGCCACAAGTTAAAATAGAAACACTTGCTTCTTTGCCGAAAAGAAAGAAAAAACTTTATTGGGGGGGGAGGGGCATAAACCAGAGAGTTATTTTGTTTCTCGAAAATGGATAATGTACCTGTCAACATGTATTTATTCTGCTGGCCTTCAGTGCTATTTTCTGGTGTCAGTCGAAAAGCGACTAACATTGCATCTTGGTGACCCCGTGCAGCAGACTAGTGTATTAATTTTAACATGGAACAAATGGTTTAAATGGAACTGCACTTCCTGCCTCTGCTCCCTTGCTGGCCCAAACCTGCCATGAGTTACACTGAGCCCTTACGCCCGCCCTGAAAAACATGAGTTGACATAATTTCAAAAATATCAGAAGTAAAGAAAAGGTTAAACCATCTGTTATTTTCATTATACACACACCCTACAATTAATGTCTTGTTCATCTTTTCTTTCTTTCTTTTTTTGAAAAAAGAACCATTATGCAAATACACTGCAATTTGGTTTCAAATGCTCTTTGTGCTCTGATGAGCAATTTTCTCAAATACAAACCCAGCCTCCTTCCCCTCCTATATAATTCCCCCACCCCACTTCCCTCTACGCTTCTACCCCTTTTGGGGGGCTGGGGGTGATGATGGTGGTTTCATACTACTAACAGCAAGATCATTTGATATTTTTTACCACCACATGTGGAAGCACTGTGGTTATTTTTTTAAAACTTATCAGAAATGCATGTATTTTGAAAGAGAACACGGAGGAAGTAGCTTCCTGCTTTTCTTTTTCTTTTTTCAAAGGAAACCTCTTTGCCTTTTTTGCTTTTCACTGTCCCTGCTCCATGGCACAGTGATACATTCATTGAAATGATGTGTTTAGTGAATCCAGATTCAAAGATGTACACAAATGTACCTATGAAAGGAGTCACAGCTTGCAATGCAAATGATGGACATCCTAATAAGTTTAGCCAAAGTTGCTTTCATTGCCAGCTCAAAACATTTTACTGCTGAAATGAAGCCCAGTTTGCAACCTTTCCCCCTCCATACTAGGAACATCATTTAGACACCAATTCCTGCCTTCACCTGTGTCCCGCTCACAGTGCTACATAGCAGGACCAGCCCAAGTAGCTTCAGTTGGGCACGGAAGTGTGGTATTAAGTGGCTCTTTTAAATATATGGCTTTTTATTGCAGGAAGCTCTTATAATGGCAAGCATGGATCATCCACATCTGGTACGGCTCCTCGGAGTCTGCTTGAGCCCTACCATCCAGCTAGTTACTCAGCTGATGCCCCATGGCTGCTTATTGGACTACGTTCATGAACACAAGGATAACATTGGCTCCCAGCTGCTGCTGAACTGGTGTGTCCAGATAGCCAAGGTAAGCTCTTACAGAACCAGCTGCTCCTTTTTCCTAGAGATGTCAAACCTTTTGAGATTCCCCGCTTGAGATGTTTGCTTAGGCTCCATATCTCTGGTGTGCAAAAATAAATTTTGCATTCTATTAATTTATGGAATATGTTTTATTGTGATTGGGTTTGGGAGGGAGAAAGCGGGCTCTGTGGATTTTTGCTCCCTTGTTATCTTGGGAAGTATATATTGAAGATTTTTCCACTGGATCAAGCTTTAGATCTCATGCATTTTTCATTATTGATACACTTATTTCTCTAAAACAAATATGATATATGAGAAGAAATCACTTTCTGAAATTGATAAATAAAATGTAATTAAATGAAGAAGACAATCAAGCTGATCATGTAAAGCGATAGTCAAGTTTTGGAGAACTGGATCTCACATACCTGAAACAAATTAAGGTAGGTAAATATCTTGTGGGATTTGAGAAAAGGATCCAGAGTAAATAATTTGCTGCTATTATTCAGTCTTTGTTTTCTCAAATAACCAAGATAAAAACAAAAACAAATACCAGTCCCTTCCACCATATCATGCATTTTTTCCTGCAGAAACTATGTAGAAAAACAAAGTTTGGGGATTGTGTTTGCTCTTTCCTATTTCTTGGACTGAAATTTTTTGCTTGCAGTTTGTGAAAGGGAACCATTTGAGGGGGTGACACAGGCCACATACCACATTCTGTGATCTGTCACTCTCCATTTCCTGGGCACTTCCTTCCCTTAAAACACGGCACATCATTAAAGATATCAAAACTTTTAACACAGTTGGCCTGGACCAGCCCACGAGGGATGTATGATAGCTCTTCAGGAACCATTGCAACTCCTGCTTTTGTTGCCTTACTGGATCAGCGGACTGGGAAGTGGATGTCAGCTGCTTTGGAAGTCCTTAATACATGGCTTGGCCTGGCTAGGTCTCACACACATCCTTCCTCCTGGCCAGTGTCTAGACCTTCCTTCTTCTAGACCTGCACCTATTCTTCATGGACCACCATGAACCCATGTGTTTTAATTTGCTAGAGTGGCAGTTTCATCACAGGCTACTTTGTGATGCTGCCTCAAAGCTCCGCAGGCTCAAAGCTCCACCCTGACAAGTTACATTGAGTTCATCAGGAAGCGTTGGGGATGGAATAGGAGAAGGGACAACTACCCTGCCAATTCATAGGGGAAAAAGTGTTTTTGTAAAGGGAAGATGCAAACATTAGAACTGGGACACTGAAGGAAAGTAAAACAAAGTAAAATGGAACTTGGATGTGAAACACCCACGAGAAATTCCCCTAACAATTAATTGGGGATAATATGCAAACGTTTTTCACTACTAGTTTCTTATTCCTACAGATGTTATTGCGACCAAAGAAACATAAAATATAAATCTGTAGCCTGATTAATTTGTTGATTGTGCTATAATATCAGATTATGTCAGGATCCCTCTTACCATGGGTGAATTTCAGCTGCGATCTATGCACACTTATCTGGGAATCTGCCACATTGAACCTGAGGAGGCTCACCTGGTTGTACTGCTGGTAGCTGAGGCAAATGATGTGGCAGCTCAGGGGAAGGTCTTCATAGTCTGGCTTACTTCTAGGCAAGTAGGTACAGAATTACAGCTCTACAGGGTGACTCTAACTATGTAGTCTCAGAAATAGGCCCTATTTAATTCAGTTGGGCTTATTCCCAGCATTGCAGCCTTAGTCTCCCAAATGAATAAATTTAAAATTAAGTCTTTAAAGAAAGGATGCTTAGGAAGAGTGAGAAAGAATTTTACTAATAGTTTAGCACAGACATACTTGAAAGCTGTTCTTTAAAGACTAAATTGTAGGATTAATTGATGTGAACCATTAAGGGAAAGGGGGGGGAGGATTATTGTAAGGAAAAGGTAACTTATTTATTTGAGGTGGAACAGCAAAGTTTAATTAAGCTATCTTTTTCTGTATCACCATAGTCTAAGGTTAACATTACTTTGACCTTGTGTTATTACAGCATAAAGCGCATCAGTTTCAGCTCTTCAGAAATGAAATGTATTTGCAGCAGCAGATCTGTTTTCCTTGATACTTGGGCAAAGGAGACTAGGGAAAAGGCCCCTTACGGAATTCAGTAATTCAGTCTTGTATACATGTACACTAACTGTAGTGCTTACTTCCAAGTAGGCATGCATAGAACTGTGTTTTCCGATTAGTAACATGCTAAGGTCAGTTTCTCCCTAGAAGTTTGATGGCATGTATGTGTCCATTGCATGTTTCTCCACTTGCCTTTCTGGAAGTGAGAACTACGAGCCTGCAAAGGTCGGGCAGATGTTCCCAGTCCCTTAGAATTTGTGGTTCAAATCATTGGCACCGGCTGGTGGCCACGATTGAGGGGAACAAAGTCACGTGTCACGCGCAACGCCCTGACGTTGTGCATGACTTTGTGTGCGATGCCCTGACGTCCCACACGATGCCAGGACGTCCCACACAGGATGCCATGCGACGACATAGTGTTGCCACTGGGTATTGAGGGGGTTTAATCCCCTCCTTAAAAATTCGGGGGGGGGAGTGCTTCCACCAGGGGAGCTGGCACCCCTGGTTCAAATATATCACAAGAAGATGGCAGATCATTCCGTTGTGATTGCATTTGTGTTGTAATTGTGTTGAAAGGGGTCATGCGGTTTTATTATGGACTAAAGGGCCCACCACAGTCTTCATGTTCATGCTTAGTCTGCCAAACTGTTTCCATATCACTTGCCAGCGGTGATCTTAAAAGTGGAGACCAGGCTGCTGGACTGATGGGAGAACTGAAGAACCTAGATGTTGCTGGACGCCACTTCCATTTCCTGCCCAATGATTGCTGGGACTGATGGGAACTGAAGACTTGCGCCATAGAAAGCCACAGCTCTTCCGTTCCTATTAAAAACACACACACCAAAATATGTTAAAAGAGAGAAAAATATTTGGCAAGAAAGAAGTGCAGCAATACAACACACATCATCTGTGCACAACTGTGACAGAGTAAAGCGGCTGACTCATATCTTCTGCTTTAAAAAACCCCAGAAAGAAACACCTACTTCTTACTGTAGAAAAAGTAGTTACGTTATCTCCAAAATTTTCATATTAACCCAGCTCTGTGCAAATAATAAAAGAATTGGTAAGAACAGTTTTTCAACTGTTTAACCCCAAATTTCAGGAGTGGGATTGCATAATTGAGCATTTCCATATAAAACAAACTCTCTGCACACAAAACTTAAATAGATGCCAGGGAGTTGGACTTGTCCTTGTTACACCAGTTTTTCCTGTGTGGTGATGGTGGTTTATTTGTGTTTTCGCTTTTATCAGGGGTGCTCTCAGACATGTGACCAACCAGGAGCAGTTTGGCCCCTTTACTTGCCATTTCTGCTTCAGATTATAGTCGGCAGGGAAAGGAAAGTGTCTGCAGGGATATATGTCATCCAAACTGATGCCACAGAATGGGGCAGATTCAGTCTGACCTCACAAGGATGCATTGAGGTGGGTTAAAAAAGAGAAAACTGTGCAGTCTTTTTTTTAAAAAAAACAACACCAAACCCATGGCAGCCCTGGCACATCTCTGAACTATGGTTACCCCTTTTTAGACATTGGCTTCCCGTACGTGATTACACACGAGGAGTAACTTCTGACAATGAGAGCCTGTTGTACTCACATCGGCTCCCCTTGCTTTATTGGAGTTTCAAATAGTGCAGGCAGAACACATAGGGATGGCAGGCTGTAACTTCAAAAGTCACATGTTGTGGGAAGGAGGGGGTTCAGGCAGAGTGGGCTGGATGACACATTCCATGCTCTCCTGTATACAGTTCTAAGCATACTAGGGAACCCCATACTGTCAGTTTTCATGCAATTTGCTACGGTGCCCAAGGAAACCAGCTGTGTCGTCTAACCCTTAAATTTTGACATGATGATCAAAAGTCATGACAATTCAGCTCAGCTCTGTTTAAATCTTAGGAGAACCCAGCTTTTCTCTAATCCGGAGTCTTATGGGGGAAATGAAAAGAAAAGAGTACCTTTAGAATATGTAGTTAGGTACTTCCTTTGCCACAACACACAAGATTTACTCTTGGCTTTATATTTCCTAAAGCGGTTTGGAAAGATTTATTGTGCTTGCCTAGAAAGCTACCCGGAGCACATTCAGGGGTCTGATAGGAGCCAAGGAACATTCAGTGTTCCTCTCAGTGTCCCCTCAGACACTTATTTGTGTGGCCAGAGGCAGTTTTGGATGTTTGCCTTTTAATAAAGGTAAAGAGTAAAGGGACCCCTGATCATTAGGTCCAGTCGCGGATGACTCTGGGGTTGCGGCGCTCATCTCGCTTTACTGGCTGAGGGAGCAGGCATACAGCTTCCGGGTCATGTGGCCAGCATGACTAAGCTGCTTCTGGTGAGCCAGATCAGCGCATGGAAACGCTGTTTACCTTCCCGCCAGAGCAGTACCTATTTATCTACGTACTTGCACTTTGATGTGCTTTCGAACTGCTAGGTTGGCAGGAGCTGGGACTAAACAATGGGAGCTCACCCCATTGCAGGGATTCGAACCACCAACCTTCTGATTGGCAAGCCCTAGGCTCTGTGGTTTAACCCACAGCGCCACCCGTTTCCCTTGCCTTTTAATAACGGCATCTTTTTCTGTGCCCACTTCTGCAACAGTTTTCTGTATCAAGGCTGAGAATGGAAGGGGAGGAAGAGGAAAGGCTACCTTTAGCTGAGTGGTGGATGTTGTTTATTGAATGGTTTATCATAATGAGGTTGGCTGTGCTGCACTGGGCGTCACCCTACTGGGTCGGTCTTTGTTATATTTTCTGCAGTGTTTTTTATTACGCCTGCTGGTTCAGAAGATCTCATTATGCATGGATGTTCATTTCAAGCTGTCTTGACTTTTGCATAAAGAGTTGCAAAACCTGCAGAGGCCCTCGGTCGGCTTGCCGGGGCCAATAGCCTCTGGTGATGTCCTTTGAAGTTTGGCGATTGGTTCGTGT